CGGCAGCAAGAGAATGAAGAAGCCAGGAAGGCAGTCAGTTGCCATTCGCGGGGGAGGGCGATGAAGATAGTGGCACGGATGATGGCTGCGATTCTTGCTCCATTGGACAGGGTACAACAGCCGGGATAACAATAAGAGTGGCGGGGAGCATGATATGAAGAAGTGGGGGGTGAATGGGAAATTGGGCCTGCCGGCTCGGAAGGGCGTGAAGAAGAATACTGTTTTGAGGGAGGCTCGGGAACGCAAGACCTTGGGGAGCGAAATTCTGGCTTTGCCCGACAATATTGGGAATGAGGAGTTTTAGCATTCCGCTTGTCTCTTTATAATGCCAGGAGCTATTTATGCTCTGATTTCAGTGGTTGGCACAAGGCTGATACCTACCAGGTTCTAATGTCGCACAGCCGGAGAAGGTGTAACGGTCAAGAAGGGCGAGGCTGTATGGCTACCGTATTTTATGAACGGGCTAGGAGAATTCCTGGACGCAGGGAGTGGCTCAGGGTGTGGGTCGATGACTTACTACAAGTTTGTGCGGAAGTGGCGGTGCCCCAAGTATCATACTTCTCCAGCTCCTCCCACCACCTCCCTCGATGATTGTTAACCCGCTCACCAGCACTTTGGATTATACTGCCTCGCCGTTAACCACACAATGGGACCCGACGGTTTATTTTTTCCACTTGCCTTAACAGCTATGCCCCCCCCGCCCCCCATAGCTTCAATCTAAACCCCAACAGGGATGATGATCCGACACTGATAAAAGTATTGGTTCGTCGCTAGTACGAGCAGAACAAGCACATATTCCCCGCCTGCGTGTGGATGGAATTCCATCCCAATGCGGATTACTCAAGCATGGTACGGCGGGATATGAATGGGAATACCTTCTCCTTCGGCTGAACCTGCCACCATCATAGCGGTCAACTTTGGCTGCCCCCGGATGGAGGTCGGAAAGATGGAGCATCAGAAGACGGGTCAGGAAGCCATATATGCTATGCTCTTATGCTGTTCTACATTTCTATTTTTTGTATTCTCTCCCTGCGCTCGGCCGGTTTGTTAGCATAGACTACAAGACTCGGACTAATCTTTGGACCCAATGTATATCTTTTCATGACCAATGAAACCGATGAATGGATGCGTCACTCCGTTACAAGTATAGTTCGAGGATGCCTCGTCGACAGGCTCTCACAGCGCTACAAATGATCGAAGGGGTAATTTTCAGCTTCCGCAATGGCATCCCGTCTCCCCCCCCACATTGTGCTAGATCATCATCACCCCAATCATCCTCACATCCTCCGCTTCTTGGCTGCAATGCCACGTTAGAATGGACGGCTGTATCCTAGGCCGCAATTACCTCCGATGCTGTGATCAAACCGATAGCTGCGGCCTTGTAACCACTTGCAGATTTTCATATTCTATATCCCTTTGAACAAACGTTGGGACTGCTGAAGGTGCTGTATTGGAGTTAGATTTCTATATCTAGCAACCCAGGCACCTGTAAGTGTTCTCGGGGGTATCGGAAAGCGCGGAAAACAGCACCCTGGGCCGCATTGAGATTTTAACTCACGTGGGGGTGAGTAGAAATGCTTTTCCGATTATATACTGATTGCTCGAGCATGTCCGTCCCGCCCCGGAGACATTCATTCCTCTACAACCCTTAAGTCTGTTCGTTCTGCCTCATCTTTTCCAGTCACATTTACTCCCTCCCATATCCCGCTACCCTCCAGCCTACCTAGCCTCCTCCGAAGGGTCTGCAAACCTGTCCGGCCTGCAGCACAGCACTCCCCAAGCCGGGCGATGCCGTGATCTCAGTTCTTAACCCGCCTGACGACCACATGACAAGCGTTCTCAGTGGACTCAGTCCCAGCGCCACAACAGAAATCTGCACTCGTGGGATCGCCTTCTGGACTTCTCGAGTATCCCAGGAAGTGTAGGCGTTTGTCCCATTCCCACCCCTAGTAGAGGGATTGACTGTGGCCAAAATTTTATCAATAAGGTCTTGCAACATCTTTACGAGCACGGGAGCCGAGATTCAAGGGGAGAACGAGAAGAATGTGCGTGATACAAGTGCAGAGGTCTCTACGCTCGGCAATGAAATTGCCGGAATGGAGCTTGTTGAGGATGAGTTCGGAAGGAAAACCTGTGAGCAGGTGTAGGGACGGAGGCGGAAGGCAAGGAAGCTGGCACAACACAGGTGCTCTCGACTCACATTTGCCACTGGATAAGAGCCCTCGTGCTGACACTGCATAGGAACCCCATGACAAACCCGAACGCCCAACGTTGATTTTCTAAGGGCAGCAGTCCGCTGCCGACAGGGCCGATCAAGCTCTATATATGACCACCCACTAGCTTTCCGACACCCAGCACTTCCAGTATCGTACTCACTAGGCGAGTCTGCTGGAGGCTATCCGCATCGAATCTGGTCAAGCATGGAACCCGAAGACGCCGCGGCCGGCACGAAGATCGGGTGCCTTCATTGCCAGAATGCGACAAACCCTAAAGGAAGAACCGGTCAGTCCTTGTAGCGGCCAGATGCAGATCTCGCAATATCGGGGGCATGTTCATTAATGATAAGTATTTGCTCTTCCCACCCCATCCACCTGACACCCCTGAACCATTGAGTAGATCAAATACCCTTCCCGTTAACTCCAATCGCGGGCCACGAGCACCATCAACGCTTAAATATCCAATCCACAGTTATGCGATCTCCCGGTGTACATAATGTGCACGGTAGACCACCTTTGAGGGGGCTTCATGAGATTGCTGGGGGTCGGGGGATGGGATACGGGGGCAAGAATAGAAGGCTTAAGGTAGGTGAAAATGGGAGAGTTGTTCTTGATTAACATTGATGAGGAAATCAGTTTTTTCCGCCACGATGATGCCGGCGATGGTGATGTTTGGATACCAATGTGGTCAGCTTTAGGGCACTGGTGAACCCTTTCTTCCTTTCTTTCTCTCGGCCTTTTTTTTTAATTTTCTCGCTAACAGAACCAGACAATGAGGATGGAGGATTTGAAGCGGATGATGTGCTATCCTTGAATTAATTTCTATAGGAGGGTAAATGCCGATGCTACTCCATACATACAGAATTCCGGGAAAGAATCACTACTAGTGCATTCATAAAGCTCTCAGAGCCCTCTAAGCACTCGGGATATTATAGCATTGAATGCCTGAGCAAAAACCGTTCCGAATATAGCCAAACTTCCTCACCAGTCGGCACGATGCCCAGAGGCACCCGACTGTAAAAAGACCACCTATCTATCCATGACACCCCCTTGGCCCGTATTCTAAGGCCGGTTTCACTGACAAACCACCCAAACACAATAACCCTCCTAGAAGGATAAGTTCCCTACTTACAGAACAGTACAGGACGAAATCCGGGCGACCGAATCAAGCAGATATTGAGAGCGTGGACGGAAGGAGATTGCGATCATCCAACGACATAAGATGCGCGGAGCATAACTTTGCTTTTATCCCAATTAGCAATTTCGCAGCCGGGAGGGCACAGTTATGGCTGGAGGAGTATGGGTTACCAAACAGAGAGTGGAGGGATCGAGAAGGCAATGTAGTCTAGTTGTCTGGGCGGTGGAGTTTGCGGTAGCGCGTTATTTATAGAGGGGGGAGTAAGGGAGGGGAAAGGTGGGAGAGGTGGTTAATGGTGTCCCGATGGCTGGTATGATGTGGGCCTACTTGTGGCTCTCTAAGACCGGGTTGTTAATTGGGTCAATGATGCCTGCTGACCCCAGAGATTGTATAATATATCATAATGAAACTTTCTCGTAGAGCATACTATCCTAGGGCGGAGGTTTGAGACAGGATTGCTGTTTTCCCCTCTTGTTCCCAAGTTTGGTTGCTATGTCTCACTTGAAACACTCTACTTACTCCATATATCATAGTGTGATCTCACGGTCGAGTGCAATGGCGATAGGATAGTGCATTTAGGTATCATACGAGACACCTGCATGGACAAAGGTTCCCGGATAACAGCATCCCAGGGATGATACCGCATCAACCCGAGCTCTGAATATCACAGCGACTCTATTTCCCATGACCTGTTTTTTTTTTTTAAAAAAAAAGAATGGGATCATAAGGGTAAATTCCATAAAGGGTAAATTCCATACTTTTGTTTTATTGTTATCTTTTCCATCTGATAAATATCTTCAGCAGGTTTGCTGCATGAGAGGCTTCTTTAAGCGAGGCGTAGGTACTCGTGCCTCCTCGCCAAGAGTTGGCACCCGTTTCGGAATAGCTGCCACCGACCTATAAGCAGCATCCTATTATTGGCTCGCTTAGCTCAAGCCTGTGGAATTCGATCGGTGGAGAGGATGGACATTGCGTCACCAGTTAGAGGGATCGGCCCTTACTCAGCCGATAGAAGTGCTAAAAATGTCAAGCCTAGTCTGCACATTTCTCGAAAACTGTGCAAACATCCATCAATCCAACACTCATCCTCACACTCTTCTTCTCAATCGCCTCCATGGTGGCCTTTACCTCCATCTCTCCCCCTCATCCTCCTCGCAGCCATCATTCTCCTCACAGCCATCACTCTTCTTGCAGAAATCATCCTCCTCTCCCCCTCCGAAGAAAGGCAAGCTTGCCTCCAAAACTCCAATCGCTTCCATAGCCACCATTGAGCAATCCTCAAGCTCGGTTCTGAAACACACCCCGCCATCTCCAGATCCTACCCACAGTTCCATCCATCCGTCAATCCAACACTCATCCTCACACTCTTCTTCTCAATCACCTCCACGGTAGCCTTTACTTCCATCACTCCCCCTCATCCACCTCGCAGCCATCATTCTCCCCACAGCCATCACTCTTCTTGCAGAAATCATCCTCCTCTCCCCCTCTGAAGAAAGGCAAACAAGCATCTCAGCTTGCCTCCAAAACTCCAATTGCTTCTATAGCCGCCATTGAGCAATCCTCAAGCTCGGTTCTGAAACACAGCCCGCCATCTCCAGATCCTACCCACTTCCATCCACCAGCTTCTATCCAATAATGCGAGAGAATCAGTGATATAGTCATCATGCAAAGGGTTCTAGTAGCCTCACGAGGGGTACAGGAAGCCTTCCGAGTTATCCGGTTTCGTACTATGTATGGCTCCATCGGGATCCGGGGATGTAGCAGGAAGGTGGACATTGAAAGAGATGAACCAGGCTTATTCGATGCCATTTTGATGGCTAAATCGGCGATTGGTACGGTGGAGAGCCTCAAGCTCGATGCTAAGAAATCCCTCACCACTGCTCTTGAAGTCGAAGAACTGCACGTTAACAAGGTTAACGATAATCTGTTTGTTGGAAACCAACGTGGACTCGATTTAGCAAGCCTCGCACAGCGTCTGGACGGTCTTGACAAGGAGGTTGCTATCCAAGACCTGAAAATTGCCGGACTCGATGAGCAAATGAAAATTTAGAAAGTTGAACTCGATGAGCAAATGAAAATTCAGAAAGTCGAACTCGATGAGCAAATGGAAATTCACCAAGTCGAACGCGATTTAACCGATAGCCGTAACGAGGAACGCCTACGATACCTTCTACGTTTTGATCATTCGTGCCAGTCAATGAGAGACGGCTATATCAGTGTGTATAAGAGAGACTACCTTGGAACCGATACCAAAAGAGATCGCAAAACAATTGCAGAAAGAAATGCTACCATTCACTGGGGCGAGGCCCGTTCTGATGCTGCATTGTATGTAAAAGCTGGGGGCAGAACGGATCCGGAAGTCTTCGAGAAATTGTATAGACTATTGCCAGAGAAGATAGATCAAATTAGTAAGAAATCTCGACTATTTTTCCTTGTTTCAAAGTATAAGAGGGCTAACTTGTTTAGGCAATGATAAAAGAGTTCAAGTTTTAAATATTCACACCGGAGTCCTTGCCTCCAATTTCAAAAAAAGTAGTTGGAAGTTTTCGAACCTGTTTGCAGCATTCGTTGGGGCCTTAGAGAAATCCATATTTGATGAAACATATGCTGATAAGAAGCAAACTGAGGTAACTATTGCCTATCGTGCATTTATTGACTGCATCAGCAAGGAGGTAAAGGCGGTGAGACCGAAGAAACGCAAATAAAAACTAATTTGTAATTTAGAAAAGCTTCTAATGGAGCTATAACTGCTGCCCCACCTCTTTCAATTGTGGCTGTACATTAGATTTTACCGTGGAACCTAACAAGTTGGTTTCATATTTTACTTGCCAATGACTTCTACTCCATTCCCCTCTTCAATTCCTCCTTCCCCGCTCACTTCCACTTCGAAACTCTGCAGTCTCTCAATATGCACCTGAATGTTGTCCTCTCCCCCAGAAGGAACTTTGGGTCTCGGGATCTCCAAAGCCCTCCTGCTCCCCCCTTTGAAAGCACTCCCCAGCATCGATATTGATAACCCAGATCAGAGGTATTAGCTGTCACACATTTTGGTATGATAGCTACTGGAATTAACCAATTTCTCCTGCGTCCACAGCAAGAGGCCTTTGGTCTTACAAACCAGCACTACATGGTGGTGCTCCGCATCCCGTACGGCGCCTCACCAGAACCCACGTAGGCAATACTCGTTGGGCCCTCCCTCCCCCTAACCAAAACAAATACCATCACCAAAATCGTTACCCACGCCCGTCTCCTCTCTTCTGTCGACACGGTGAGCAACATGAGCTCGCTCGGGTCCTGTAACACCAACTGTGGTAATGTTAGGAACAGCGATAACAACACCTGGAACGATTGCGACATATCGGTAACGGAGGAGAGGCGTCAGATTCTGGAATGGCTGTCTCCGTTGGCCCCTCAGCAAAGACATCGAGATGTTAGAAGATCCCATGTAGAAGGGGTAAAGGAAGGGCTCTTGCAAACAGAAGAGTTTAAAACATGGAATACTAGTGAGGACGGGGTGGCTAGCCCTATCTTGTTTGGCTATGGAGATCCTGGGGCTGGGAAGACTCAT